AATTGAATTTCCTGACAAACAATATAAGAACGATCTTACAATGTCTCTTATGCTGTGTTTGACGTTTATAGATTAGAATAACCACTTCACTCAACCGGGTCGAAAATAACATTCTTAATCCTAAGTAATCATTGTTTTTTTAATTAATTATTATTTTAATATATAAAATATATAAAATTATAAATAAGGGTAAATTGAAATTATAATTTATACTCTATAATGGTAATAATAATTCTGTAACCTATAATTTTATTGCAGTATGCTTGAACCCAGTGAGCTAAATATTATGAATATGCTAGCAGTGTGGCAGCAAAAACGCAGCGAACGAGCAAACACGAAATCGAGCATGATCTGTCGTCACGATGTGAAAAATTTTATACTACGAAAATACTAAAAATTCGATAAGTATTTGATTCTTAAGATATATTTGTAGCTTGGTAAAAGAAGTGACAATGTCAATATTCATCAACTTGAGATATGTCTGTTAGAGATATGTTAGTTAAAAATTTTTTTAGTTTATGATTAAATAACTTGATGTATAAGTGGAAGCTGTTACCTTTATTTTTATTTAGATTTTGACATTACCATTTCTTGCACACAATGTACAAGAGTTTTTAAACACATTTCTAGTCTTGGTTCAGTTAAGCAGAAATTTGATATTGGCACTTCTTGTACGAAGTCATAGATATATATTATATATGTAATAATATTATGAAATACTGTATTTATACTTATATTATACGTATAATATAATTCATTAAATAGATGTATTTAATGATATTATTACGTATAATTTAATACTATTATTATGTGTAATTATATATACTTATTTATCAAGATATTGCATGTGAGAGTACTCTTGAATGTGATACAAAATTATTACCTCCTTTACTTCTGATGACCATGGAAGATTATTGCAAATTTGAAGAGAAATTTCAACAAGACAGGGAAATCAGAAAACAGTTTGTAAGTTTTTTATTCAATGTTGTTTTAAAACTATCACGGCGCATTTCAATACAGAATTTTAGTATAGGATTCAGTATCTCATCTAGATAAATTAATCACTATTTTACATCTGGTTTTTATGTTGTAGAAAAAGAAAACTTCAACAATTGAAGGAACTACATATGCTAATCAGACGAGAAATATTCTGAAATTTATTTTAGATGATAACGTTTCCAAAAAATAGTCGTGAACAGGAAAAAAAACAATCAACACCAACGAAAGACACAACATTTGCTAGCATTATTACAGGCAATTAAAAACACAAATATTATAAACGTAAGTTTAAAAAGTATGTTATAATTAACACAGTAAATTAGTTACTTTTCTTTAAATAAATTTCAATTATAAAAAACAAATCAATATATGCAATTGTTAGATCAATCTAATAATTTAAATGCAACAATTGTTATATTTAATTCTTTACATTTTAACAACAGTTTTCAATATTAAAGTATAAAAGAATTGTAATTTAAACATAATTTTGTAATGATTTCAGATTACATTTCTACGGTAGAAAATTGCAGTCTTCATCAGGTGCAGAAAGTTATCTAAGAATGGTTGCAGCACGCAGGAAATCGCTTCCATTATTTATTGAAAAAGATGACATAATATAAAGTGACATATAAGTAGTGATATAAATATATATTTTTATAAGTGCAAAATGTATTTTTATAAGTGTTACAAATATACATATGTATATTTAGATTTTATATTTTAATATGTCTTAATATAGTTTATATAAGAAATATTATGTAAAAGTTATGTTTATAAGTATTATGTAAAGAAATATTAATAATAAAATATTAAAATGTAACTAATTTAAAAATATTCTATTGTAAAATAATTACTCAAGTAGCAAATGATCGTCATCTGATGTTTTTAGTTTAGTTATTATATAATATAATAACCAATTATGACGATAAAAAAACATCAGATGACGATTATTTGCTACTTGAGTATAAAATCATTATATTATATTAATAAAACGTTTGTCTTAAGGGCATCTTAAAATAAGTCTCACAGACGTCTTATAAGACAAATCAAGAGACATCTCAAAGACGTTTCTAAATCGCCGAAAATTATTGCATAAGACCTTTCATAGACGTTTTAAATACGTCTCTTTGACAGTTTCATAAAACGTCTGAGTGATTTTAAGATGTCTTTCAGGCGAACATAAGACGACATAATGTTGTGTGGGTATATATATACGAATATCCATAAATGTATCTACATCAGCGTATATCGTATGTATATACGTTTGATGTATGTATATGGAATGTACATGAGGTATATTCTGTGTATATTTAGGCAACGATCTCGTTTGAAAGTACATTCTATGTATATCCATATAATGTCCTACGAATATTCCTAAATACACGTAAATTTATGTATATTCTATGTATGTACTATAACGTTGCCGTTTCTAGGGCCCGGAAAAGTGTATACATAGAAAGAAAGAAAGCGAAAAATCAACAGATTAAAGTCGTTCTAGTAACTTTTTAGGGTTAAAAAAACTGTCACGGAGCATGTGTCCGATTGCAACTATCGTGTGTCTGTTTCCTGTTGTGTCCGATTATCATGTGTCCAATTGCAACCATCGTATGTCCGTTTTCTATTGTGTCCGATTAGCATTGTGTCCGATTTTCAATGTGTCCGATTGCCACTGTGTCCGATTACCATTGTGTCCGATTGTCACTGTGTCCGATTCCAACTACAGTGTGTCCGTTTCTTATTGTGTCCGATTACCATTATCGTGTGTCCATTTGTTACTGTGTCCGATTGGCACTGTGTCCGATTTTCAATGTGTCCGATTGTTACTGTGTTTGTTTTCTATTGTGTCCGATTGACACTGTGTCCGATTCATTCAACTTGCTGTGTCCGATTTATTCTGTGAGCAACTGGGACTTTCCCTTTGCCATCACCATTCTCTTACAGCTGGAGTGAAATGTACAGCAGTTTTGCCGGCGCTATCCGCGCTCTCATCTCGGTCGTGGAGGCGATACAGGGTTGGAATTCCGACTTCCTGGTCCAAATAGGATCAGAAATACTGAATGGCAGGCCGAGGATAGTCAGCTCGGATATTACATTGTATCTGAGCCGGCTGAGCAGAGTACCTCTGAAGCCTCAGTAGCGGCTTAACATCATCCGCTGCTTTCTTCTTCCTCGCCTTTACTACTCGCTGATCTTAGGGAGAGTCACACTTGGTAAACTAAGAGCTCTAGACGTACAGACTCGCGTGGCGGTTCGCAGATGGCTTCGTCTTCCGAAAGACACTCGGACGACTTTTTTTTACTCACCGGTCTGAAGTGGCGGGCTTGGCATTCCCGCATTGGCCACCACGATTTCAGGTCTGTTGTACCAACGTCAGCGCAGCCTGGAATCCTCGACTGCTCCGCAGGTGCAGGCCATTGCCTACTACCTGGACGATCCACCCTTGAGTGGGCGCGTCATGCGTTCATTCGAGACGGTGTGTGTTTGGCCACGGAGCACCTGCGGTACAAATGATGGTCCCGCCGACTTCACCAGTCGGTGGACGGCTACGAATTGCGGGAGTGCTAGAATTTTAACCTGTCCTCGTGGTGGGTGGAGTTCACGGGAGTCACGCCATTCCCGGCCGTGATTACATCCAGTACATACATGTTTGCGCCAATACCCTTCCGATAAGTATTCGTACGTCGAGGAAGGTGAGGCGCGAGCTGTACGCCACCAGATGTCGTACCGGCTATAATTCCACCGAGACAGCCACGCACGTCATCCAGAGTTGCTTCCGCACTCATGGTAGCCGCGTTTTTTGCCATAACACAGTGTACCGGGTCCTGGCTGCAGGACTGAAAAGCGTGGGCTGGACTGTGCGCGAAGAACCGGCATACAACACTGCCGAGGGCAAACACAAGCCGGATTTGCTTTGCCTGCGTGACTCCAAAGCCGTCTTGCTGGACACACAGGTCGTCAGCAGCGCGGCTCTCTTGGGGGACGCCCACAAACGCAAATTGCATTATTATGGGGACAACGCGTTCTTTCGTGAGGCGATCTCTCGGGAGAATTGCATCCAGCTGCCGGACATTGGGTTATCCTTCTATACCATCTTGTGGAGGGGAATCTGGTATCTTGCGTCTGCTGACTGGCTCTTGGGCATGGGTTTAACAAAAGGACTTTTACGGGGCATTACAACAAGGGTGTTGCAGGGCAGCCACACCAACTGGACTTACCAAGTGTGGAGCCAAATGACATCCGTGGTTCACACCAGGCTAGTGCAGTGGAACCGAGAGGGCATTGGGTGAGCGGGAGCGATTATTCTTGTGGGGAACCTGTCCCTCAATTTCCTTGTGATTGCCTATTTGTATGTCCGTCCTGTATTGTCGGGTGCGTTCCTTCGGATTTTACCCGTCGTTGGACCCTCTAATTGTTTATCTCTTCCCCTGCACATTCTCTTCCTTATGTGTTGGCAGATAATAAATTGAAAAAAAAAGAAAAAGTTAGCAAGCAGCCACCTCCTCGTGGTTCCCATCGGTTAGTACTCTCTTTGGAGAGGAAACTAAGAGCTGCCACTGCGAAACAACTTCTATAGGGGCTGCCTTCCTCTATAGTCGTAGTAAGCTGGCTCGAAACAGAAAAATGCAAATAAGTCTCGGATGGATGATTGTCGATGGATGAATGACGATCATCAAGTCGGCACGTCCACTGGCGCTGCTGATCCACTTAATACTACAGGGTCCTCTGCTAGCTAGGGAGGGGAGAAGGAGAAGGAGGAGGAGTAAAGGCGGGGAGAGGAGGGGATGGAAGGGAAGGGGAGGAGGAGGAGGACAGCGAGATATTCACCGTCTCCGTCTCACAGTCACCTCCTCGCGTATTTGGAGACGCGCCGTCATCCGAAGTCGGTGTGTCCCGACGAAGATCTAATTGGAAATCTGGATCCTACTCCCATCGCTCCGGCGGCGGACGAATACAGCACGCTGTTCCAGGGCAACATAGACTCCGTACTCGCGTGCGCCACGTCGTTGCAGCCCTTCATGTGTCGCATTATCGTTTACGTCGACATGCAGCCGCAGGTAATATTGCGCTGCGCGAATCACAAATTAACGACGTATCTGCGCAAACGCGACGCCTTCCATCTGTCGCGTCCGGCCGGATTCAGCGCCGTCATCGACAGGATGAAGCCGGTCCACACGTGGTACGAATTCCCGGTGTGCCACGTCGACGGCAGGCTTCTCTACGCGCTCTTCCAAATAAATCCACCGGAGGACCTGACGTCCGAACGACAACAGTGAAGGGACAAGGACATGGAGAGCACCACCAATTGGTTGCGCCAGGTCTGCCAGGCCTTGTGACGTGACATTTTTACTATCCGTCACAAGGGCGAATAAGCCCGGTCGAGGAGGAAAATTTGAGGTCAGAAACCCTACCGCGGGGGACGACGACCTCTCCCTCTTAATTCTTTAAGCTCTATAGAAATTTAGCGGATCGGAGTGAGTGGCCAGAAACACCTACGTTTTGTATATGAAGAGGAGCAGCCTTCGTGGGACCTACGAGGGACGACCGACTCTGCAGACGGGATGACGGAGGCCCGGACATCGCGTGGACAGATCCCCAAAAATAAGGTCACTAAAAATATTGCATCCTATTCAGTAAGACTTAGAGAAATGTCACTACCAAGAATAACGTTTCAGGCACAAAATATTAAGGCCAGTAGACGCACCGAAAGGTTGGCGCCCGGGAGGAAAGCGCGCTTCCACACGCCCGAAGACCCAGGGTAGAGTACCGAAAATACAGGAGCTGCCGCAACGAGCCAGGGGAAAAGAATCAGGTCGGAATCTGGCTAGTTTCCGATCGATTTAATATACGGTCCGGATCCAGAAATGGAAAAGGCCGCAAAGGACGTTACAGACAGCTGCCCTAAACGAGACCGGGGTCACCGCGGAAAAGCGCCACAGAGGGCCGATATATCGAGGAGCGACGCGAGGATCGAGATTCGATCGAGTTGACAGGGAAGAATCAAGGATCGCTAATCGATAGCAAGGATCTACGTGCGCAAGGCGATGCGCGGACTGTCACCGCTGTCCGGCGAGCCTCACTGTCGTCACTGTTCGGCGAGTCGGCTACCTGAGCGGAACCTTGAGGACCACAACGGGCGTACCGACAATTTGTAAGGCTACCACTTCAACTTGGTGGTAAGAGCGGTACCAGCGCGCGGCCCGAGCCTCACGGAAATAAGATTTCGCGTAATTGATTGGAGAAGTACCTTCTGTACCGAGACTCGTTATGACACCGCTTGTGAGGTTAAAATTAGGCCAGGCCTCGCTGACTGCCGCTATTTAGAGTTAGATTCTACCATGCTCTTCCCCTCGGGGCTGTCGAGCCGACAGTCACTCTTTCGCGTTTTGTAACGTAATTCTGTGTAGAACTTTCGCGTCTATAATTGTTTTCGGCGCACCGCGTATGTGTTAATTATGGATATGATCATGTCGCGCCTCTATTACTGTATTCTTTGAAATCGTGCCTCGGCCTTTTGTCGAGAGCATTAATTGTGTATCATTATCATCGATATCGAGAGAGACGCAAGAGTAAAAGCCTAAGGAGTCGTAAAGATCTTAATCGATGATTACCGTAAAGACAGATCATACGTGTATGCCGAGTGAGACTAACTTGCGTGGTTTCCGCGAACCGAACATCCGTATAATTATAAAGTCTCTCACCGGTACGAATTG